GATCATGAATGTTGATTTGCTCTTCGCATGGAGTTGTATGTGCTTAGTAGAAGACATGATGAATACTTTTGATGACTGTGATCTACTAGAAAAAGTTGTCAATATGACTAATGTACATGAATGTAATGATGTTACAGTGTCAATAAAAGTACAACAATTTAGATCTCGTTATGCAAAGTATGTTTATTATAATTGTACTCATGTTTTGTGTGAATGCCATGGCAAAAAACATGATCGTGAACCAAGCAGAGTACCAGTAAAGATGTTAAAACGCCTCTCTCAGAAAAGTAGAAAACTTCAGAGCTATGCGCGGAGCCGTTCAAGTAAAAACCTACCAAAGTCATCGAAAGTCTATTGTCTTATTAAAAATATTGCAGCACGAAAGAAAAGTACACACAAAACAAGTGCCAGGTTTGCACAAAAAATGAGAAGGAAACCAATTTTTAGAAGAAACGTTAACTCTTCAATGAGATATGTCTACAGTTCTAGTAGAGATAAACATGGAAAGAAATATCTCAAATACTTAAGGTTCTTTTCGTGTAATTTGCCATACAGTGAGTACAAGGGTGTAATTCACAGAGGAAACTGTACAAAGAACAAGCTTTGTAATGATGTAGAGAAAAACCCTGGTCTGGTATGCACCATGTGGATCCTAGTAAAACAATAAAAGCACCACATAGTCAAGGGGATGTTGTTGTATTTGGACAAAATGCAGGACAACATGTTGCAATGAGTTTATGTGCATTAATATACCACACTATGAAAGGAATAGGCAATCCTGATGACTTAAAACAAATAATGCACATTGGAAATCAACTATATAGCAGTTTGTCTCAATTATCAAGACAATCATTTTTACTGCTAACAGATTTACCATCAATGCTTACAATACTAGAGGAAGATTACCAGCTAGAATGCAGTGAAAGCTACACTGGTGATGTCCATGGTGAGGCTACCATTGAGGGATATCAATACTGTATGGGCCTGGAAAGAGCTTTTGAGTCATTGATATCAGAATGATATAGGTTATTTATTTTAACAGTTGGTTGTATGGCTGTGGGTATTAGTTACTGTGCTGATAATGGCCATTTTCAAGTGTTTGACGTGCATGCTAGAGATATTTATGGTAAAAGTCACCCTCGAGGGACGTGTTCTATTAGATATATCATCTACAGACAACTTAGTGCACTACTTTCAAAGTTTATATGGAGCAACTGATCTGTATGAACTAAAAGGTTTACAAATTACAAAATACGACATGGCAATGAGCAACAATGTAAGAGAAGTTCAGGTATTAAAGAGATCATCAGGTCAACACAAGTGTTTCAAAGACCACTGTTTTGCAGTAGTTCTTTATTCTATATGTTACTCGATCATTTCACCTTGTAGTTACTGGAACTCAAATACTTTAGATGCAATCATTGAAAATGGATCTCAGCTTAACAACACAATGCACAATGAGCACTCTCTAGTTGCATCTTTTGCCATGCCTGACAGTGTTAAAATTTTTGGCACTAAGATTAATGTACACATTAATGAAGTAAGTCAAGGAGAATTAAATAATTTAACTAAAAGCAGAATATCTTTAGAGACCTTGATTTTAAGGAACCACATTGGGAAAACAGGCTTTTAATGTGAATTTCAAGTTACTGTATAGCTTGTATCTATCAACAAAATACAAAAATAAAGCAACTGATTTCTATTCTGACATACGAAGACAGTCCTTCACCTGCAATGAAACACACAAAACACATTCGTAGTGTGAATAATCTAGTAGAGGAAATTAATAATATAATTCAAAATAAACAGGAATGTCAGACTATGGAGTATGATATATAATTTATTTGCTGTTCTTGTAGAATTACTGAAATTGAAAGGAAACGCATCATGAGAAAACACAGAAAAAAACATACGTATGACAGGATGGAACCTTTTGCCAAAAAAAGGTTTCTAGAAGACATTTTAAAAAAATATTCAACAATGGATGCTACAAAGAAGAATTACAGAAATCCAGATCAGTTGAATCATGTATTAACCAGTTTAAGAAAATAAGAGTAGGGCTTTATTTTATATGTATGGTCTGTAATCGAATACATTATAAGAAATCAGTAATAACATGCAAAAACAAGAAGTACACTTTCCAAACATATTTCAATTTTCAACAGTCATTTGATGGAAAACAATACATATGCAACACATGTCATTCAAAGGTCATAAAAGGAAAATTACCATGTCAGGCTGTAGTGAATAACATGTATGTTGATGAAATACCCCCACAACTAGCTTCACTAGAAAAACTAGAGCAAGTACTAATAGCTCAAAAATTAGTATTTGAGAAGATTGCTGTCATGCCTAAAGCACAGAGAAGAATTAACGGTGCAAAATGCAATGTACCTGTAGAATGTGATCAGACATGTAATCAACTCCTCATCC